CTTGAGCAGTATCGATCATGAAAGCAGTCAAATTATGAACAGTCTGATCGTGGACATCATGTGCCAGAACAATATACTGGTTGCTGTCCGAGTTTGACGAGACTCCAGCAGAATAGCGATCCTTGGAGATTTGGATCAAAGCAGGGCTATCGTTTTCGTAGTCCTTTGTGTCTATGTTCTGGTCCACAACATGATATCCAAGTTCGGACATCTCATCAAGGCAACCAGATGCGGCGTTGCACTCGAGGTATGGCGCCCGCATGTAGGTCGGAATCCAACCAAAGAGATTTCGGAAGGCCATCTCATTGTAGATCATCTCAGATCTTCGGATAGTGCTGTTGACCTCGTTGAGATTGCGATGAGTCCAAGTGTGGCTGGCAATGTGATGGCCTGCAGAGTACATGCGTCTCATCACAGCGGGCCATGGGTTGGACGAGTCATCTATATGTCCCTTGGCCCTGTTGTTACCGGCCACAAAGAAAGTGGCCTGGACATCTCTTTCATCCAGAAGATCCAAGAGGTCATTGGTGTAGTCGAGAGGGCCATCATCGAATGTCAGAGCAATCACACCGGGTGTAGTGCAAGTTGTGATGACAGTGCCTGTTTCTGCTGTAAGCATCTAATAATGCATATGGCCATTGGAATTGATGCAGAGACATACCATACGGGACATTGCCAAGCTGTGGTCGAGATATCCCTTCCGTGCTGCTTCCACGAGGCCCGAAACTGGTCTCCATGTCAGCTTCATGTCCGTTACTGCAGTACGAGGACTTGGACGATACAAGATCTCGTCTGTGGTTCCCAAGCTTCGGATAGCACTTACAAAGTATCACACGAATCACTGTACTCGAGCTGGCAAGCAGAACCACCACAAAAGTCTCCGGTTGTTCCGCAGAAGCCACTCTCTGAACAACAGGATCCAGGATTGCACGAACCAATCCCAAGACCACACTCGGCACGTTTCCTCAACTTCGAATTGCGCAATGACAAAAGATCATCGGCTGCAAAGACTGGTCCAGACAGAACAGTCCCTGCATGGAGCAACAGGGAAGCAAGGGTGACGGGAAGGCTGGCTTTCATTTTGAGCGAGAGTAATGAAACGGAAGCAATATACTTGGAACGAAGAAATGAAAAATGATGAGTTGAACGAGTGGCAATGCGAGCGGCCGATGGGTAGTTGTATGAAGCCTTGAGAGAGTTTATCTACGTGGGGCACGCGTAACTGCAGCTCCTGAGCGAGGTAAACATCCAACTTGAAATTAAGAGGGTTTGAACGCCCATATTCTGCACCTTGAACACGAGAGACCGTCAGCCGAGTTGAATGTACTGGCCCGGCAGCCTAGGCCTCATACCAGGTCACCTAATGGTCAATGAGGATCCACGTTGAGATCAATATAAGCCATCCCCAACAAGCCAGCCATCATCAGGTGAGGCCACTGTCTCTGATTTATTGCTTTGTTTTCGGGAAATTGCATGTCGATGGTGCTCTGATTTGACAATGTGAAGAATATTCGACTTGCATATAGACCCATTGATGCCACACCAGGCAGCAAGTCTTGGTTGCTTCTTCAGGTTTTCAATATTCTCATCGACACCAATATTGATGAGTTGGCTCTTGATTATGTTGATTCGCTGACAAGAACTGGTAGTACCTGGGATCTGCTATCAGCCTCAAGGCCATGGAGGAAACTTTCCCCAGACACCCAAAAACGCGAGTCGCCTGCAGCTATCCTTGCTTTTGCAGCGTCCTCCAGTCGGATTATCCGAGTTTTTCTTGGCGCATATACTCGTATTCGTCCCATTTAAATGTCTCTCGTGTATCGTTACACAAAGTCAAGAATAGTTCAGAAGGTTGGCTGCCGATTTGAAGACGCTTGTATGTTCGCACCCTTGTCGTGATAAAAATATGATCCGCCACTGAGACACGAAACAGGGACAGTGAGCTTAATGCCCGTCGGGAAGAAACTGACGTGTTCCGTCAGCTTGTGTAACATCACTCAGCTCAACTTCAGCAAGCCATGTCAACATTTCGGCGAGATAGCCTTGCCATGTTCAAGGCTGTTCCGTATTCCGCTGTCAGGTTGACGAGAGGTTTCTGACCCACACTGAAGATCTGCTCCTAATATTGTCCTTCACCGTATCACAGTGAATATCCTGCCAGCATCTCATATGCAATCATCCTCAAGAAACTGAACTTTTCTCGTCAAACGCATTAATAATCTCATGGATGACTATGAAGCCGTCTTGGCATCGGAGACGATGCTCAACAGCCCGCAAGCTTGAGTTGAGGCTTCATCCCCTCAATCATATCCTCATCACAATAGTTTCAGCAACCATGTAGTCGCGAGAAAGAAAGAGAACCATCCATTGAGCCAACAAGCTGTTCAATAGATCAACCACTGCCCTATGTGCTGTCATATGTCATATGCCTACCTGGAAAGGTATTCGCGAAATGAAATGACAATCGACTAATCTTCAACCTTGACATGCCCTCGTCATCCTGTACAACAATTTGACTGAGCTAGGATGTTAATTCAGGCACGTCAGCTGAAATGGATGCAGTGCTTCCAGGCTAGTTGACTCCTGCATAGGATACAGGGGATCATCCAAGGCATCGGTGAGGCTGTATTGGCCCTCGCAAGTTTCCTCGAGTTGGGATAGCGGAGTGGCTGTTGCTAGTTTCAGTCTTTGTGACTTGACAATCGCATCTTGGTTGGTGCAAAGATATTGCGTGGCCAGATGCATTCTTGCGGCAAGCTATTCAGGGGCAGTTCATGTCGCAGGCCAAGTTTCCACTCGAGGCTCGGAGTATCGTGTTAGAAAGTTCCGGCTACTGAGGCCTGACGCCGCACGGTATAGCCGTTGAATTGAAACGGAAAGGAAAAGTCCTCGATTCATCGGTCGCATTGTGAAGCCAGAGGTCTCGATGGATCGCTCGATACGAGCCCATAGTCGTCCATTGATGATACATATGCTCCTTTCGAACCCCAATGATTTCTCTGCATCTTTTTCCACTTCTCCCCATTCACTCGTTAATTGTCGATCGTTACCACCATGGCTCAAATTCTTGCTGAGAGCCTCCTTGTTCAGGGGCTTCCTTTTGTTCGTCATGAGCCAGAAACCAAGTCGTGGAACATTTCCAGTCGAGAATACTACGACATCACCCCTCCAAGTGAGATTTCAGAGGCAGAAGATGTCTTCGACGTGCTGACCAAACCCATTGATGCAACTGCTGAGCCGCTCGTTGCTGTCATAGGGGTTGGCTATGTCGGCGAGCATCTAGTCGACGTTTTCTCAAAGAATCATGATGTGCTTGGATACGATGTATCAGAAGCTCGAACTCAACAATTGACTCGGAAGCAACATGTCGGCAGTCGTGCCAAGTTCACATGCAAGCCTTCAGATCTTGCTGAAGTTACCCACTTCCTCATCTCAGTACCGACCCTTCTGATAGATCACAAAACAATCGACTCCTCATACCTCCGGAGTGCTCTGGGCGTGGTCAAGCTCTACGGTCGTCATGGCGCTGTGGTCGTCGTGGAGAGTTCGGTGGCAGTGGGAATGACGCGCGCTCTTCTTGGCCCTCTTGCAAAAGAGCGTGGGTTCTTTGCGGGCATGTCTCCTGAACGTGTTGACCCTGGTCGCACAGAGCCACCAGCTCACTCCATACCGAAGATTGTGTCTGGACTTGACGACGTGGTGCCGGGGTCGCTCGATGCTATTATGAGGCTCTACTCGAAGAGTTTCGATCACGTTGTGCCAGTGTCGAAGCCTGAAGTTGCCGAGATGATGAAGCTGTATGAGAATTGTCAGCGTATGGTCTGCATTGCCTACGCTAACGAGATGGCGGATGCCTGTGGTACTCATGACATCGATCCGTATGAAGTGTGTCGCGCAGCTGCCACCAAACCATTTGGCTACCTCCCGTTCTCACCAGGCCTTGGTGTTGGTGGTCATTGCATTCCAGTCAATCCATGGTATCTGCTTTCCAACAGCAAATTCCCTCTCCTGCGAGCAGCGTCTGAGAAGATGCGCGACCGTCCTTCCGAAATCGCACAACGCGCTGTGACGCGTCTCTACAGCGTTGACAGGAACGGTCTGCGACCACGCGTCCTTGTGGTTGGAGTTGGCTTCAAGCGCGGGCAGTCGCATCTCGCCAACTCCCCTGGCCTCGAGTTGGCGAGGCGTTTGGTCGAAACGAGCAAGGTCGATGTTGCTTGGGCTGATCCTCTTGTGTCGCAAAACGCTGTTCCTCGGATTCCAAGACTTGATGAAGCCGAATGGACTGCGGAGGCTCTTGAGCGAGACTTTGACATGATTATTGTCGCTTTTCGTCAAGAGGGTCTTGATTTTGATGTGTTGGAACGTGTTCAGGGAGTTGTCGTGGAGCGTTGGTGTCCTTGAAGGAGCGAGGTTGGCATTGCACACTCTGGGCAGAGAGCCATTCAAAAAGGAAACAAGCAACGTAAACGACCCACACAAACTGTTTGCTCTTCCTTTATTATTGTTTCTCCAAATGGAACACATTTCCTATGTACCTATTTTTGCCTTTATCTACCAGTAGGTAATGAACCTGGTTGCGCAGGGGTTGGTTAATACGCAGTAAGATATTTCATCCATTGTAGGGTAGCTCATGACATTGTAACATACTCAGTGAGGATCACGAAAAACTACAGTAACGGGGAATGTAACGAATGCTAAATGTTTTGGCCAAAACGTGCGAACTCTGAGAAAGCTACCGAGGTACTGTAATCATGCTGGGGTGCCATGCTTAGGTAGCTCCTCCCAAAAGAGAATGTCCTTGGTTTCCCATCGTCAACTGCTTCTTGCCCGGCACTTGACATGTGCAAAGAGTAGAGGAAGGCACTTTCATGTTTCTCGACTTTTAACCACAATCGGTCTGAGATGATCTACTTCTCCATCACAAGCTTCATCACAATCACCACTATTCTTTCATCATTACCACAGCTCTAAACAATATCCCCATCTTCGTATTAACCATGAAAACCCCAGTCCCCATGCCAACAGCTCGCCAAGGTAGGTGCGCGTTTCGGGAGAAGTCTGCAGACTAACAGAAGTCAGCGGAGTTGTATGATCGGTACATGCAATATATCCGTCTCGAACGCGAGGGCCCTCCGATCGAAGTATTGAAGGCGGCCAAAGCCCTAGTCAAGGAGGAAGGCCTTAATCCCTACCATGCCGCACGCTTGCACATGAAACTGGCCGAAATCCCCGAGATTGGATATTATCATGCCACAGCGGGCGTCAAAACTCTCACACAGCTGAGAAAAACCGATGACAGTAACTACATTATGACGGAGTTGCAGGAGGCAACAAGAATCATGAAAGAAAGGGGAACGGTCGAGAAGGTCTGGTTGGGGAAGTACAGTGAAATGTAAGAGATATTCTTCACCTAGATTTCTTACCACTTTGACTTATCGCTTGATGCATCTCGTACGGATGCCTGCTTCCCACTTCAGCTGCGATACTTCTTCGTCAAGCCTAGTTGTTACTTGGTACACTATTAGTAAACGCCACTGACAATCCTTTATAGGACATCGGAATTCAAAAAGGCGGCTTTACGAAAACGTTATTTGGATTACTTTTCCGACCTCGAAAAGGATCAGCCATCCCCCGAGGGAAAGGAAACAGAGGAGCAGAATCCTTCCATGCTTGACTCCACAGTTAAAAAGGCGAGGACGACCGATTCGGGCGGTGAGAAGGGGGACAAGGAGGACAAGGAGGAGAAAGAGAGGGAGAGTTTGTATGAGGACGCATGGGCGTTTATTGCTTTGTGATGGGCTGCATCTCATGCTAGCGCTTGCTGTATCGTGTATACTTGACCGTGACTATCATACGTGGGAGAGAAAGGAGTCAAAGGAGAATAGCGTAAAGAAAGCGTACGATCGCACTGAAATCCAATTTGCCGTACATATTTAGCAAGCTGTTCCGTGACTCGGAGTGCCTATTGAGAAGTATAAGAATGAGACAAGGTCTATGGCGCAGGGGAAAGATATTGCTTCCATGATTTCTTAGCAACTGTGTTTTTGTCGTCCCCATGTTATCTCCGGCCGAGATCGAGAATTGCCTGAATCGTGCTTGAGGCGTCAATTTGAGCGTTTTGATTGGCCTGGCTTTAGAGTCTAGACGACGTTGAACCCGGTTCGCATCCTTGTCACTGCCAGCCATGACCATCGAGTCAAAAGTTGGGACATTAGTTCAACTTTTCGGGAGAGACCACATCCTGTCATCGTGCTAAGACTCAAAATGACGAAGAAATTTATCAATATCTGTTGACCTGTTTTTCATACCACAGTTCTCTGAAGCAATGATCTTAATGGTCTCGTGTTGAAGCAATCACGGAACATCGGGCAAAGCTTGCATATCGTCATGTCATTCACTTGTCTCTCCATATTACTTCCAGATATTTAATTACCCCATTAAATCCCCTAAAAAACATCTCAAAATTTAGGCATATCATACAAGTCCTCAGGATCTGTCATTTGTTAGCGATGAACTTTTGTGTATGGAGTTTACTTACCTTTGCCCTCGTCCTGAATATACTTCTTGACCTCCGCAACTCTGTCGTCAATCTTCTTGAGCGTCTCGTCAAGCTTGGCCTTGATCTTATCGTTTGACTCGGCTGCGCCCTTGAGAGCACGCTTAGCAACGTCAAATCGGCTGACCCAGTTGAGAAGCATCATGTCAAATGGTGTAGTAGTACTACCCTCCTCTTTGTATCCCTCCACTGTCATGCGGTGCAGACCAGGGCGTCCAAAGAGAAGGCCCTGGAGCTCAGCGGCATATCCGTGGTAGTTGAAGCATACAGCCTTGTCCTCCGTGAACATATCAAGGAAGTCAGCGCGGCTGAGTGCGTGCGGGTGACGGGATTCAGCGGCCAGAACCATGAGATCCGTGACGTTGACGACTCGGACTCGAAGCTCAGGGATCCAGGCGCGAAGGATCTCAGCCGCCTTGACAACCTCGAAGGTAACCTCAACACCAATGCCAGCGATCACAACGTCGGGCTCCTTGCCACTGTCAATTGAGGCAAACTCCCAGATGCTTGCTCCCTTTCGACAGTGCTCAGCAGCCTCATCAGGAGACAAGAAGACACCGGTGGGCTGCTTCGAGCCGATCATAAGGTTGACGTAGTTCTTGGATTTCAGACAATGGTGGATGGTGCTAAGGAAGCAGTTGGCATCGGGAGGTAGATACACACGTGCGGCCTCAGCCTTCAGGTTGAGGACGGAGCCGATGAAGGATGGATTCTGGTGAGAGAACCCATTATGTTCTTGACGAGCCCAAGTGCTGGTTTCGATATAGTTGATTGAGCTGAGGTCGCCTCGCCAGTTGGTCTCGCGCGCGATCTTGTTGAACTTGGAGTACTGCACCATCATGGTATGGATGATGCCGAGGAAAGATTCGTAACTGGGGAACAGTGCCGTTCGACCAGTGAGTGTATAGCCCTGGTATCTGTTAGAATAATCGCTGACTTCAGCCCGGAATACTTGCCTGCATCCACCCCTGACAGCAATGCTCAGAGAGGATCTCAATTACTCTGCCACCCTGTGCGCGAGAGAACTCATCCCATTGGAAGTTTCGGCCTGTGTTCTCAAATACCGCACTGAGCTTGTTGCTTTCCAGTTCATCAGGAGAGAAGATACGGAAGCTCTTGGGGTTCTCCTTGATGACCTGGTTCAGGAAATTGCCAGTTTGCTTCATGCAGCTGTTTTGTGAAGCCTTCTCCACCGCAAAGCTCTTCCAGTCAGGAACCTGCAGTTGCTGATAAGGGTCGTATGTCTTCTTGAGCTGTCCAAGTCTCTTTTCATCCTTTTGAGGGATGATCTCCAAGATACTGTCAGCAGGCTTTCCGTCCTTGAGTAGATGGGCAGTATCGTAGGTCTTGAGCCAGTCTTGGAGAATCTTGAGGTGCTCCTCATCCTTGCTGGCGTTGGGAACAGGGATCTGATGAGAGTGGAATGAGCCTTCAATGAACTCGCCGTCAACCTTTTTGGGACCTGTCCAGCCCTTGGGTGTTCGAAGAACAATCATGGGCCAACGTGGCTTGACAATGGGCTTTCCATCTCGAGCTGCCTTTTGGATCTTCTTGATCTCGCTGACAGCCCACTCCAAAGCACCAGAAAGCTCGCTGTCGATCTCTTCGAGAGTCTCCACGATGGTTGGCTGGTATCCATACCCGGCGAACAAACTGGAGAGTTCCTTGTTGTCCATGCATCCATAAATGGTTCTTTCACTGATCTTGAAGCCATTGACATGCAGAATGGGAATAACTGCTCCAGACTCGGCGGGGTCAATGTACTTGATGGAGTGCCAAGCACTAAACAGTTAGTGAATGCCATGAAAAGATGCAAATTACTTACGCTGCGGTGGGACCACTTTCGGCTTCACCATCTCCAACAAGACAAGTGACAATCAAGTCTGGGTTGTCCATGACGGCACCAAATGAAACAGCTAGGGAGTAGCCTAGCTCACCACCCTCGTGGATGGAACCCGGAGTTTCGGAGTTGATGTGACTGAACTGGTTAGCTTGGCCTTATCTGAACGTTCAACACTTATCTCACCTAGGAAAACCTCCAGGAACCGAGAATCCGGTAATAAGGTTGCGCAAGCCGTCCTTGCTAACACCGTACTTCTGAGGGAAGAATCGCTCGAGAGATCCCTCCAACCACAGCGAGGCCAAAGCAGCAGGAGCTCCATGGCCGGGTCCGATAACAAAGATCACCTCCAGATCGTGATTGCGGATAAGTAGGTTGAGATGCGACCAGACGAGGATAATGCCTGGACATGTTCCCCAGTGGCCTTTGAAGCATTAGCTAGGCACCAAAGTGAGCGATGCTTACATACCCAATAATCGTGGCTTGATATCTTGTGCCTTCAAGTCCCTCTCAAGTAAGACGTTGTCTTTGAGGAAGATCATGGCTGTCTTGGCGTTAGCCACATGCGCCGCACTAATTGACCTCACTTACACCCTGCAATATAGCATGCCGCATGCTGGAAATCATTGAGCGACTGGGCGATCTTCTTGTCCAGTTGCTTCTTTGGTGCCTTGAGTGCCAATTCCAGAGCCACATCCGGAAGATGACTGTCCAGCGGAGCCGGGTTGGGGCGATCGATCACTTCACCTGGCATCTTGCGTTTGAGATCAAACTTGGAGTTGATGGTAAGCTGAACGGAGATTCACGAAACCGAGAAAGGGAAGAGAAATGTCGGTCACATAAGGCATGAGATTACATCGGTTGAAGAATCGGCAGTTTTTTACTACATTGGTTTCACTCAAACTGTTTGATAGTGACGCGGTTTCAAGCAGGGAATGATGCTATATCGATGACGTACATTGACGTCGCTTTGACAACTGCCCCACGTAACAACTTGGATATCTGTGAAGCAGCATATCAGTAACGGATGTGTCGGGTATTGAAAGGACATAAATGTTGAAGAAATTCTAAACTTTAAATTCCAAATGAGGCTTTTTGGCTTGCGTGTCCGGAAATATTGAAAATCGATCCGGCTATATGGGATTGTCTTGCTTGTAAATAGTCCGCTGTAGATCGATACAACTCGCATTCTCGAAGATCCATAGAAAGACAACAATCCCTGCTGAATCCAGAATTGTAGCGGTCATCGAGCCTCAAGATTCCACATCAATTCTTCATTACAAACTAACCTCGGCCATTTGTTGAGTTGTTCTAGTTGTTTCAACGGCAGTGCGAGACAGATACGGAAAGTGGGGGATACAAAAACCGGAGCTTTCGTTCCTGGTGTAACAGTAAATTCACCTCGTTCCCAAACACAGATCACGATCACATCACTGAGTGCATTCCGTGTCTACTCGTTGGAAATTCTGAGCTTCTCATAGGTCAATCATTTTTGTTCCTGACGAAACATGACGACTTTTCTCAACAACTCGTCCCATTGTAGCTGCCAATTTCTCCAGTCCGCGGGGAAAGCTCAATCGTCAAACGCATGAGTGACGTAAATCCAACGTGCTCTGAAGTCGGCAGCTCATGGGTGCTTTGCACTCGGCACAATACAAAAGATGTTAAAACCCAGAGTCATTCGAACCTATCTTTCAGTGAATTATTCTTTCTTTACTCAAGAATAAAGACCAAGATTCGACATGACCGATCAAGTTACCGGAGCTATCAAACACGCAGTCATGGGACACCGAAACGACAAGATCGATCAGCTCAAGGCCAACACTGTTGAGCCCAGCGAGAACACTCGAATCACCTCCGATTATGGAGTGAAGCAGAATAACACCGATCACTGGCTGCGCGTGAACAGCGAGGACCAAACTGGCCCTATGCTGTTGGAGGATCCTTTCGGCCGAGAGAAGGTAAGTTGCTATAACCCAACAAAATCAACCATTGAAGGACTTCAGATTCTAACGCAGTTATAGATCCACAGATTTGATCACGAACGAATTCCCGAGAGAGTTGTCCATGCCCGTGGAGCTGGCGCTCACGGCACATTCAGGCTTTTCGAGTCCGCCGCGGACGTAACCAACGCTGGCGTCCTTACCGATACTTCTCGGGAAACACCAGTTTTCGTCAGATTCTCGACTGTATTGGGAAGTCGCGGCTCCGCAGATACCGTTCGTGATGTGCGCGGATTCGCTGTCAAATTTTACACACAAGAGGTTCGTTAACCCCTCAACACCAAACCACCAACCCTCCAACCCTCCAACATCACCACAACTAATTTTGGATCAAATCTAACGCTCCTTCCTCTAGGGAATTTGGGATTGCGTCGGGAACAATATACCCGTTTTCTTTATTCAAGATGCCATGAAGTTCCCAGACATGGTTCATGCTGGAAAACCTGAACCGCACAACGAGGTCCCTCAGGCGCAATCCGCGCACAACAACTTTTGGGATTTCGTATGGGGGCATTCAGAGGCAACGCATATGTACACCTGGGCGATGTCTGATCGCACGATCCCCCGTTCGTACCGCATGATGCAAGGATTTGGTGTCAACACTTTCACCCTCACCAATGACAAAGGGGAACGCCGATTTGTCAAGTTTCACTTCACCCCCGAGCTTGGTGTTCACTCCTTGGTCTGGGATGAGGCGCTCAAACTTGCCGGCCAAGATCCCGACTTCCATCGCAAGGACCTCAACGAAGCCATCGAAAATGGCGCATACCCGAAGTGGAAATTCGGTATCCAAGTGCTGGAGGAGTCTCAAGAACACGATTTCGACTTCGACATCCTCGACGCTACAAAGGTCTGGCCGGAAGATCAGATTCCTGTCCGATACATCGGAGAACTCGAGCTTAACCGCACTGTGGACGAGTACTTCACTCAAACAGAACAGGTTGCATTCTGTACTAGCCATGTCGTGCCTGGAATTGGCTTCTCCGATGATCCTCTTCTTCAGGGCCGGAACTTCTCTTACCAGGATACCCAGCTCAGCCGTCTGGGTATCAACTGGGAAGAACTACCTATCAACAAGCCGGTTTGCCCTGTCATGAACTTCAACCGGGATGGCGCCATGCGTCACACAATCTCCAAGGGCAAGGTCAATTACTGGCCAAACCGATACGGTCATCAACCCGCTGCAACAGCTCAGGAGGGTGCCTATGTCGACTACCAGGCCAAGGTCGCTGGCATCAAGCAAAGAGCCCTTAGCAAGAAGTTCAAGGATCATTTCTCCCAGGCCCAGCTCTTTTACAACTCTCTTTCTGAGATTGAGAAGGCACACGTCCAGGCTGCCTTCTCGTTCGAGCTGGATCACTGTGACGAAGCTATTGTCTATGAACGCCTTACTGAGCGCTTAGGCGTCATCGATGGGGAGCTTGCAAATGCTATTGCTGAAATGGTCGGCGGTAAGAAGCCTGTCGAGGCCAAGCCGAATCCCGGAAAGAAGGCCAAGAACTTGAGTCAGATGGACTTCCTTCCCAAGACTCCAACTATCAAGTCGCGCCGTATTGCCATCATCATCGCTGATGGCTACGACCCCATTGCTTTCAACGCCGTGTATGGTGCGATCAAGGCTCAGAGTGCCCTTCCCTTCGTCATCGGACCCCGGCGCTCCGCTATCTTCTCCGCCAACGAAGATTCTTCGTCGTCCAAGGGCATCGTTCCCGACCACCACCTCGAAGGTCAGCGCAGTACCATGTTCGACGCTATCTTCATCCCTGGTGGCGAGAAGTCTATTCAGACTCTTTCCAAGAATGGCCGAGCTCTTCACTACATCCGCGAGGCTTTCGGTCACTTGAAGGCGATTGGTGGTACTGGCGAGGCCGTTGACCTGATAAACAAGGCCATCCAGCTTCCTGAGGTCTCCCTCTCCGAGACCGACGGCAGCGGCGTTGTCGACAGCTATGGCGTCGTGACTCTGAAGAATGCTTCACCCGACAGCCTCAAGGAGATTGTCACCGTTGCTTCTGATGCTAAGGGCTTCTTGGAAAAGTTCGTGTTCAACATCAGCCAGCACCGCAACTGGCAGCGAGAACTGGATGGATTGAGCACCATGGTGGCGTACTAATGATTTATTAAAAGATACCAACTTATGTAACGAGCCAATTTGAATCTTGAAGTCAATACATTAATCACATGAACTCTCACTTATGCTGTGACAAACTCGAATTGATGAAGTTGGGATGCATTGTGTTGGCCAATATCACAAGCGAATAATTGCTCCAGGCCCGTGATAGTTAAATTGCTTTCCCATTTACCCAATTCTTCTGGACCTGAAATAATGAATCTACCTGATTATACGGAGTACGTTGCGCCCCGACAGCTGGTACAACCTACTGGATGTGACTAGTGTTCCTTTCATCTGTACCATACGAATCCTAAGTTTAGGCATATTTACATACTTGATATAAGTTTACGATGAGTTTATGATGAATTCTGATAAAATTCAATGAGTCGTGGCGAGATGAGACGGGATGAGTAGTACTGAGATCCGGGGTCCGTGCCTCTTATCTCATACCTCATCTCATCTCATCTTAATTGAAGCTCATCGTAAATTTAGCTCACCGAAGGGTGCTCATGTTGCTTTCTTCCCATTAACCCTCTGTTTCAACTTCTGTAAGCCCCTCACACTCTTCTTCAGTACAAACGTAGCATACTCTCCGTGACCCTCCATGTCTCTCGAAGCCCTCTTCTTGATGTTTATATACTCATCTACTTCATCTTGAGCCTCTCCGATTGGGATGAAAATACCGACGTACCGAAATAAGATCGCGTTGAGGATGATGCGACACATTCGTCCGTTTCCATCCTGAAATGGATGAATCTCAACAAACCGAAGTGAGTATTTGGCGGCGAGTGAAAATGGATCCAAAATCTCCTTCCCTTCGATATCGTTTTTGAGATTCGCGCACATCTCGGCCATCTTTGCAGGCACATATTGCGGCATCACGAACATCGTATTTCCAGCGCCGACAGGAACATCTCGATATCGTCCTGCGTATTTCTCATAGGGTACTTCCGGATGCTCGGCACCCGGATCGATGATAGAAACCCCTTTGCAAAGAATCTCATGCGTTTTCTTGATGAGATCCTCTGTAAGATCTTCGTTATGAACCCAGAACCTGTCCATCATATGTTCGAAGGCTCTCACGTGCTGGATGACTTCACGCCGGCCGCGAACAACATGGCTTCTCGACTTTCCGCGCAAGGTTGGATCCGCAGCATATAGGTCGTGAATCTTTTCATCGAAGTCTGAATCATCCTCATTGACTTCGAGTATGGAGTCGGGCTCATTTAGGGTCTTATGACAGAGATAGCGTGTGGCCTCCCAGCCTAGACCGGCCTGTTCAATGCGATTGCTGCCGTAAATCGCGTGAAATATAGTTTCCTTCACCTCTTTATGGATGATTTCCTGTTGATCCGATGTGTGATTCACTCTCAAGGAAGAATGGTAGCGCAACGCCTTTCCGAAAAGAGCTTCGGGGTTTTGATCGTCTTTGTAGATGCGGTATACATCGTCATAAACAAAGGATGGACTGTCATTAGGGCTGTCGGGTTTGAGCGTGAGATTGTTGAATTCCATGGTTGTCTGGAGAGCCGTCGATATGTGCGAAAACTGATGATAGATGAAGCAAAGGTGCAAACAATGCATCAATCTGTGGTCTCTCTGTGAGCCATACCTCATTCACAGAGTTTAGAATTGCCTTTTAATCAGGAGATTGTGACTAGGCAATCCATAGGTACCCTGAGGAAGTTTATACTCGTCGCAATTTTGAGTAAATTGATGAACTTAGACTAGAGCAGCCTAAAGTATATATGACTTTAGACTAGGTTTATGGTAGTAGACCCTGAAGTTAGGATCATTGTAGAGCCGCGAGTATTATGAGGTTTCCGTCTAACTGATCGCTCATTGCTTGAACATTATCACTGACATTATGCTGTAACAGTATTTTGCATCTCGATATGTGCACTGTGATGGCGCTGGACTGGAGATGGGTAGTGACGTATCTGTATTCTGAGCTTTATTAATAACACCTCGCTCCCTTAAGATATCATTCGGATGTAAATGTAGATCTAGTATTTGTCGACTTCTTCCCAGCGGGTTCGTATGACCTTAGGACCGACGTATGTGTGCAAGCATTGACTCTGTCACTCTCTGTGACTTCTTCCTCTCAAATCGTCGCAATTCTCAAACGATGCCTATTACGATCATAAAAAGTATTTCTCTTGAAGGGATATGGTTCCTTGAATAGGTAAGGTAGGTATGGTAACATATAGACGCAGCACGCCTCAGGTTATGCAGAGCACAGGCATCACCAAAGTCTGCACACACAATCGGGTCGTGGCTCATCTCGGGTCGTAACTGCCGGCGATAATAAAGCTGTTTGCTTCCGAATTGAGGCCTGTACAACTGCTATAAGACGGAAGGAACATCAAACTCGGAAGAGGATGTCCAATGAATCATCGCAGGCATCCCGCGTGCTACCTTCGTCAAGACCCTCATCCTAGAACCGCTTGACATTTTAGTAGAATTTTTATCGACATGTATAAATGTCCACTTTCTTCTCCTACGAGGAAACTCACCCATTTCAGAATCATCCATCTTTCTGTCAATCTTCTATTCAACATGGGTAACGGTCAAAGTGTCTCTCTCCGCGACTGTCTCGATGCCGTCTGTGCGAACCGCAGCTCCTGCGTCACGTACCCGAGTGATCCGCTCTTCGCCTAGTGGGCGAAGCCGTTCAATCTCGAGTTCCCAGTGATTCCAGCTGCTATCATCCGTCCTCAGAATGTCATTGAAGTTTCTGAGACTGTCAAGTGCGCCAAACAGAGTGGTCTCAAAGTGCAGGCAAAGTCTGGAGGTCATTCCTATGGGTGAGCTAACTCTGTTGACATGCAAAATAAAGCTAACTGGGCAGCAACTACGGTCTTGGCGGTGACAACGGCGCCGTGTCCATCGACCTAGTCAACCTCAAAGACTTTGAGATGGACAACGAAACTTGGTACGCATCATTTGGGGCAGGCACCAACCTTGGCGAATTGGACAAGAATCTTCATACATTCGGAAGACGAGCCATTGCCCATGGAACTTGTCCTAGCGTTGGCACCGGTGGCCATTTGACAGTAGTAAGTACCCTTGAGCACACTTCCGACCATCACTAACAACTCAAGGGCGGCCTTGGGCCGATATCTCGAATGTGGGGAAGTGCCCTCGATCACATCGTGGAAATGGAGGTCGTGACAGCAGATGGCACGATCTATCTTGCCAGTCAAGACAGAACACCCGATCTCTTTTGGGCGATGCGTGGTGCGGGAGCAAGCTTCGGTATCGTGACCAGATTCGTGGTCAAGACTCGCCCAGAGCCCGGCAACGTTGTCCAATACAGCTACAGCCTTACTCTTAACTCGCAAAACGAAACGGCCGACTTATACAAGGAATGGCAGGCATTGGTTGGGGATCCAACTATGGACCGACGTTTCGCAAGTCTCTTCATCGTTCAACCTCTAGGGGCCCTCATCACAGGAACTTTCTTCGGTTCAGAGGCTGAATATCAGGCATCAGGAATCCCTGCTCGACTCCCTGGTGCCAGCAAGGGTGCAGTGTGGCTTGCAAACTGGATGGGTCATTTGCTTCATGAGGCTGAAGCTGCTGGTTGCACCTTGGGCAGCATTCCCACGGCATTCTACTCAAAGTCATTGTCGCTCAATGAACAAGACCTTCTGAATGACACGGCAATCACGGACTTGTTTCAATACCTTGAGGATTCCCGCAGCAAATCGACACCATTCACAATCATCTTCAATACCGAAGGCGGCGCCATGATGGATACACCTGTCAATGCAACAGCATACCCACACCGGGAAAGTGTCATCATGTATCAATCCTACGGCATCGGAGTGGGCAAAGTATCGGCAGCGACTCGGAAGCTCTTGGACGGGATTCACGAGCGGATCAAACGGTCGGCTCCGGGCGCGCGCTCCACTTACGCCGGATACGTCGATGCATGGCTCGACCGAAAGGCGGCGCAGGAGCTCTACTGGGCGGACAACCTTCCGCGGCTTCAGGATATAAAGAAGAAGTGGGATCCGGACCAGGTGTTCAGAAATCCGCAGAGCGTTGAGCCGGCTGACTAGAGCGGAATTATTGAGATTGAGGAACGATCATTCTGTCACGAGGGCTTGTCCAACGAATGAGGAATGAGATTGTGAGGTACTGGCTCCGATGGATGCCGTAGAGGGGCCGATAGAGGCCGGGTATCAGTGTTACAAGAATGGTTTGCTGTACGACAGACTGAGAGATAGTATAGGTGTATCGATTGCTTCACCGATGTTTCTACCTCTTGTAGTCGTGAGCTGCTCGATCACGTTGGAGTTCATGTTACTGAGAATGACCCGCTTCAGCTTCTTGTGCATCATTTCCCCACGTATCTAGATCTTCTGGCGTAAACTAGTGGGGGACTTGATCAAAATCCGGGGTAGCACGACATTCAACACAACTACAATCAAGTTCCCAACTCTCAGTCAAAGTCATGGGTGGCCGATCCTTCCATAGAACATAGAGTAGAAGCCCAATCCTTATCTACGATACTTATCATGTCAAAGTTCCCCCTGTCACTGTCATTCCATTACTGATAAAAACCCCCTTGTCAAAAACGCCCTATTTCCACAGTCAACCCTCTAGCTTCCCCTCTCCCCAACCCCGCATCAACTTGTCACTCCCCGCGCGTGAGCACAACGAATACGGCCAGACACGGCATTCATGTAGACCCGCTTGGACACAACAAAGGGCGTTACGATAGTTTGACAACAAAACCCGGCCTGTTTCTGTTTTATGTTTGTTGCAATTACAAGATTCTTACAGCAACCACTTCGTTAAACGCCCCCATATCTGATTGGCGTTGATCATTGACTGGGATACTGAAGTAAGTATTGGAGGTAGTGAGTGAACTCGGCATTTGTTTAGCTTTGGGGTAGCACTTAAACCGCCATAATGCATCATTGAGCCTCACCACCCCTTCATGTGAACGCATCAAGATACTAACCCGAAGATAGAACACAGTCCATCATGGCTCTCCTTCAGAGATCCAGATTAGCCGCCCAAGGCCTATCAAAATGTCGTCCATCACAACTTCAATCCTCAGTGAGGAGATACAACACCGCAGCAATCTCCTCACTTTCCCAACGAGATGGAAAAAGCCCCTCTCTATCTCTGTCTGCCAGCCACTCAAAGGCATCGACAGCTCTTCACACACCTTCACCCACAGCAGTTATGAACCGTTCTTACTCAACAGCAAGTGAGGACATGTATACCGCATCATTTGCCTTCTTTGAGGCTATCTGGGATGCCGGTATCACCCATTGTTTCGTGAACTTGGGTACCGATCACCCTAGTATCATTGAGGCTATGGTCAAGGGGCAGAGGGAGAAGAAGGGAAAGTTCCCCAAGATCATCACATGTCCTAATGAGGTATGCTATTACGTCAAGAATTTCTGGGCAAAACTGACATAATCAGATGGTGGCCATGTCAATGGCTGATGGTTACGCCCGATTAACAGGCAAGACTCAGTGTGTAATCGTGCATGTCGACGTTGGAACTCAAGGCCTTGGAGCAGCCGTCCACAATGCTTCCACAGGCCGCGCTCCCGTGTTAGTATTCGCAGGTCTATCGCCATTCACACAAGAAGGTGAACACCGCGGAAGTCGCACAGAGTACATTCACTGGATTCAAGATGTACCAGACCAAAAACAGATCATTTCTCAGTACTGCCGATACACAGGCGAGATCAAGACGGGAGCTAATGTGAAGCAAATGGTCAACCGCGCTCTGCAATTCGCTACATCGGATCCCCAAGGTCCCGTGTATCTGTGCAGTGCACGAGAGATTCTCGAGGCTGATCTCAAGCCTTATTCTCTGAAGCAAGAACACTGGGAGTCGGTTGAGCTTGGTGGTCTGCCCACAAGTGCTGTTGATAAGATTGCAGAAGCTTTGGCGGGTGCAAAGGCTCCTTTGCTGGTCACAGGATACAGTGGACGAAACCACAAGGTTCCTGCTGCGCTTGTTGAATTGGCGGATAAGGTCAAGGGTCTGCGAGTCTTGGATACTGGTGGTTGCGATATGTGTTTCCCCGCTGATCATCCCGCTTGGATCGGTTTGAAGTTTGGTGTTGACGATGCTGTCGAGTCTGCCGATACAATTGTCGTTCTGGACTGCGACGTACCCTGGGTTCAGACCCGCTGCAAGCCTCGCGAGGATGCAAAGATCTTCCACATTGATGTTGACCCCCTGAAGCAGCAAATGCCAACTCACTACATTCAAGCCGACGCACGCTACAAGGCTGATGGTTTGACAGCCGTCCAGCAAATCACCGAAGCTCTCAACAAGAAGGAATTCGCCAGCAAACTCGAGGTCAACGCCGCCGAGACAGAGAAGCAACGTGCTGAAGTCCACGAGAACAAGCTCGCTAGCATCGCCAAGGCCGCAGAACCTCTCGCAGATGATACCTTCGGAACCGGCCATCTCAGCAAGAAGCTCCGCGATCTCTGCCCTGAAGATACAATCTGGGCCATTGAAGCTGTCACAAATACTGGCTTCGTACACGACAACATCCAGCCCACAATTCCCGGATCTTGGATCAACTGTGGAGGCGGTGGTCTCGGCTGGTCTGGCGGTGGTGCCCTGGGTATCAAGCTTGCGACGGATGCTGAGAACGGCGGTACAAATAAGGGCAAGTTTGTTGTGCAGATTGTAGGAGATGGCACATATCTCTTCACAGTACCTGGTAGCGTGTACTGGATCTCAAGACGCTACAAGATCCCCGTCTTGACAATCGTGCTCAACAACAAGGGTAAGTCACCTCACCCTATCAGACCATCAATATGCTAACAAGTCACAGGATGGAACGCCCCTCGCAGATCGCTACTACTGGTTCACCCCGACGGTCTTGGATCAAAGGCCACAAACGAGGAGATCAACATTTCTTTTGATCCCGTGCCAGATTACGCTGGTATTGCTAAGGCTGCTGCAGGTGGAGATATCCACGCTGCTAGAGTTGACAAGGCTTCGGATCTGGAAAGTGTGTTGAAGGAGGCTATTGCCAAGGTGCAGGCGGGTCAAACGGCTGTGGTTGACTGCAAGGTAGCGCCAGATTGTTAAAAGATTTATGAATAATGAGATGATAATGTGCAGGTTTGGGCTAGACTTAGATCTAGGGGCTGAGATGCCGGGATTTGTTTAGACTGGTAGCATTGATAGGTGCATTGAGAGCAATGTTTGATCATTAGATTCGTAACGTCCCCTGTGGGTTCAGTCAGAGGGGCTTGATCTTTGATGGGAATCAGCCATACAATCGTAGGAAGAGTCATGAGGTTACAGTCTGTAAATCATCAGCTTCACTTCGCTTCTCTCTTACATTAACCACGTATCTTACCCAGATCATCTTCTTTCAGTGAATCCCATATCACGAATAGACCGTCTGTTTAGGTCATCAATATCACCGCTGCTTTCTATTGTAATGCAGATATGTTCCTTCGCCTACGCATTCGGTCAGACTCTTGTCGCTTGGTGTCGCCTGGCGAGACCGATCGTCTAACACAAAGAGCCAAGGTGCATCTTCTATTATTCTCACGAATTGACTCCGAACGACTTATGAGTCAGTAGATCATATTCCTTGAAGTTGGCTTTCACAATGATTTGGTCGTAGAGTTGACAGTGCTCAGCTTGAAAGATATCCTTTGCTAACGATATCACGTTGTAAGGGCGAAACTTTTCAGTGTAAGGTCAAGAAGCTCTTTTGCATCAAATTGCGGTAGTGTGGGAGTGCAGGGTATGTGTGTAAGTGTGATCTTTCAAGTGTATCGGACCCTGATGATGTGAGCATATTACGATTGGATCTGAAACATATATTGAAAGTATTGTTATGTCCTTGCTGATTCTATTTTTCAACACACTTTTTCTTTGTATAAGCCTAACCTTTGGAACGTGGCATGCCGAGGTTGTTTTCGCGGTGTTTGCCTGGCCAGGACAGGAAAATGATTCGTCGAATTGCCACCAGAAGTCTTGACTGATACCGATTATTCGTTAATGATTGTGTGATTTGAAAGAGAAAAGAGAAATCGTGGCAAGGGCGCGTAACTGATGGAGTTTCTGATATTTCTCATGCAGAATAGGTCACCAGGCTCAAAGCCCAGATCCGGGGTGGCCGTGTTTAAACGCCGGGAAAAACATCAGACGACGCCTAAATGGTGCCTTGGCAGGGAAGATCATCATCTCTTGCGGCTCTTCTCCTCTGCTGGTCATGCAGTAGTTTAACCCAGAGACCGTTTGGTCTAGATCCTCAGCGAGTGGATTGTATATCCGTATGCGTAAACATACCCCGTATTTACTGCAGTGTTGCCAGGATAACACGATAAATACGCTGCTTTCATATCCGGAGCCTACCGTGGAATAACACCATTCATCCATCTCGGAGGCTAAATCTGAGTGAATGTCCTGGCCTGGACCTAAAATCACAAGATTGGTACCGTTGCATCCCACTTTCAAGACTAGAAGGTGATTAGTTCTTCGATGCTAGGAGAAAGAAGACGCGAAAATTATGGGAATTGATCACGATAGGCATTTGCTGATCCATTGATTGAGCCAATACTCATCTTATTTCTCCCCCGCACCACGTGCTCGTGACATGAAAAAAGAAGCTCGGGAGGAAGGTGCGGCTAGTTGCTGCTGGTGCAGGTGCTGGCAGGTGCAGGCGCAAGTGCAAGTGCAAGTGCGGGCAGGTCCCTTCTTGGGTTGGGCAGCCGCCGACAGATACATCCATACAAGCAAGATTGCCTAGGTAGGTAGGCACAGTCAACAAAAGCAAACAAATCACTTCATTAACACACTCTTTTTAATCTCGCAACCTCTGTCTTCATCCTTGATCTGATTTCTTTTAGAGTTCTTTATTGCAGGCTCTTCCTGGCGAGTTTGAGTCTCACGACCGCGACTCATCTCGGACAATTCATCTCATTTCATTTCTTCTTCATCTTGTTCTTGTCCTTCATTTGTCCTAAAACAACGCCACGCTAAAGTAGTCGGTCCGGCTCTTGTATCATCAGGCTTCGCTCGCTCGCTCGCTTCCTCTCGACCGTTAGGATCTCATACCTCCCATAGCTGAACTCGACAAACTATAAAGGCTCGACTCGACGCCCTCACGGGACCCTTTGCGACTACTGCTGCACCTTACTCCTCCAGGGTCCCACGTCGAGATCTTAGGCCCCGCCACTCCACTTCGGTATTCTCGTCCCACTACAGGTCGCAACTTTGCGCTGGTATTGGATTGGATTGGTATTTATTTACCTACGCCCGACTCGACCCAAAGCAACAACAAAAACAGGCCTAGCCCGTGATACGAAAACTTGCTCCAACAAACTGTTCTTCACTCTCCTCCACTACGTCTCGATTAACGAGGGATCATGAAAGGCGTCGAGCCGGATCTTGCCCAGCGCCTTAAGAGATTGAGACGCGTCAATAGCTCTGTGTCTTGACCACCGACCAAGCTTTCAAACCCAATTTGCTTTTTCCAGCCATGTCTTATCAAGCGGCTGTTACTACCGAGGCTCAGGCCGGCACAATTCCACTGCGACATCCCGATACCACGACTGATCGACCGCCGCCTCCTCCCCCGGTGCCCTCTTCCGATCCTCATTTGATCGCCGACGACCCCTCCGCACCGAAAGCCTCTGCCGATCATGGCCTCTTCGAGATGTCACCAGCAGAAGCACTCGCTCTGCTGAGCGCTGGCGTCGAGCTTCTCGTCAGGATAACGGGCGATGTCCCTCCGACACCACCGCCAAAATCTCCCACTGTGCCGCACATGAGTGGCATGCAAGCCGAGAAGGAGAATATTGTGCGATCATACTCTGATAAGAATCTGGCAAAATTAAGGAAACAGGCCGAGCTTGAGGCTAAGAGATTGGCTGCCAAAGATAAGCCTGAGCCTGTGCATGACAATCAACCAGAGTCGGGGGATATTGATGGTGTGCGACTGAAGCCTCACCCAGGTCTCATGTCGCCGCCGCCTCAATCAGAGCCTTACGTTGTCGTTGGTGCTGATTCTCAGCCTGTCAATTTGCAACACAGCGCCATAACACGCAAATTCTACAGCAAGAATGAGCCTCCGATCACTATTAACCAATATCTTCAGCGGCTTCACCAATTCTGTCCCATGAGTACCGCAGTATACCTCGCGACATCACTGTATATACACAGATTAGCCGTCGAGGAGCGAGCCATCCCTGTCACCCGGCGCAACGCACATCGCTTAGTCCTGGCTGGTCTTAGAGTTGCCATGAAAGCTCTTGAAGATCTATCTTATCCCCATGCCAAGATGGCTAAGGTGGGTGGCGTCAGTGAAGCAGAGCTGGCTAGGTTGGAGATAAGCTTCTGTTTCCTGGTTGGATTCGAACTAGTTGTTGGTGAGAGCAGACTACGGAAACACTACGAGCGATTGAGGGATCGCACATCGCATCACGGCTTCGATAATGCGGATGTTCCTATATTGAACCTCAAGCCTCGGCCACGCGGCGGAGTTCAGCCAGCAGCATAGACAACTGGCTCACCTACTTACCCTTCTCACCTACATTTCACGCATCATGGTTTGGGACATTTGAGAGCACGGAATCTGCATGTCATTTTGTTTTATTTTTGGGGCGCCGTATCTTATGGTGTTTGGCACGAGCATTGTACATGGCTTTTTACCTTGCACATAGTCTAGGCGTGGCATTATGGGATGAGAGGCATATACGTTGGAGTGCATCATGAATTTATATCCAGACTTGTCAGCATATTCCCGTCCATTGCTTTCATCATTCCCACGTGTTCTTTCGATGTGGCTGCGACGATCTACGAAGCCAAGGGAACTACTTGACTCGTAATCAGGGTCTTGATTCTTCACGAGGGCCCCATCGAGACCCGCTGCGTGATGGACCCATCATTGCTTTTCGATTTGGAATGTTCTAAGAATCCACATAGCTCCGTATAGCCGTCGTGTAAATGGGACGTAGTATTTGAGCGAGTCAGTACTCCGTGAACATGCTGATGGGTCCACTGGAGATCAATCTCATTTACTTCCGAAGTCTGTACAGCTTCATGATGGGCTCTGTCAGTAGCACGCCGGGACAATGTCTAAAGGATTCACTACTATCCGGCTTGTCCTATCATCGTGAAGCTAATGATCTTGATGGCCCATGTGCTACATTTCCGTATTCGTTTCTGCCACAGATAACCGCTTACCCCATCTCACAATACCCCATCCTTATCCATCATCGTCATCTCACCTCACTTCAGTCACTCATCAACAACTCTGGGATTTGAAGCAGCGTTCATGTCGAAATGGGCGCCAAAACATCTGAAGACGATCACTCTGGGGGAAATGGTACATCTTTTAGCCCTTCGTAAACATAGAACCTCACTTACACATGACAGGCCAAGGACCACTCTCATCCAAGCCATCCTCTGCAGGCGGAGAGCCACGCGGTGCTCATCTCGCCCGCGATGGCGACGGTAGTCTGGGAGGCGAAGGGGGCGACGACGACGACGATGATGATAACAACACTCCCGCCGGACCGCTAACCGACGGTGCTGGTAAGAAGAAGAAAAAGAGAAAGCCAAAGAAGAAGAAGAAGGCTCCTACACAGCAATCTTCACCTCCAAGAGTCCCGTTGAGTGATCTCTTCAAAGAGTTTCCGGCCGGCGAAATTCAGGATTACAATACTGCTCGTACTACGGCTCAAGAACTTCGCTTCATGGGTCGTCGACAACTCGAAGATCCAGCGTTTCTGAACGATTATCGAAAGGCTGCTGAAGTTCATCGGCAGGTCCGACAGTGGACGCAGGAGAACGTCAAGCCGGGGGATAAACTCATTGATGTCGCTAATGGTATTGAAGACGGCGTGCGTGCTCTTTTGGGCAATCAGGGTATTGAGCCTGGTGATAACCTCAAGGCTGGAATGGGGTTCCCAACAGGTCTTTGCTTGAACCATGAGACTGCGCATTACACGCCTAGTCCTGGCCAGAAGGATGTTGTTCTCAAGTATGAGGATGTCATGAAGGTTGATTTCGGCGTGCAGATCAATGGTTGGATCGTCGATAGTGCATTCACCATGTCATTTGACCCTACGTACGACAACCTTCTCAACGCCGTCAAGGATGCCACCAATAGCGGTATCAAGGTATGTCTCTCACCTTCTAGTAGATGATGTGTCTGACGATTGTAGGCCTCTGGTATCGACGTTCGTATCTGCGACGTCAGCGCCGCAATCCAAGAAGCAATGGAGAGCTACGAGGTTGAAATCAACGGAAAGACATACCCCGTCAAACCCGTCCGCAACATCTCAGCGCACAACATCAAGCACTACCAGATCCACGGTGGAAAGTCGATCCCGTTTATCAAGAACAATGATCAGACTAAGATGGAGGAAGGTGAAGTGTTTGCCATTGAGACGTTTGGTACAACCGGCACTGGACGACTTTACGACGATGTAAGTGTGCATGTTTAGTGAGTTGGGATGTTGCTAATGAGTGTAGGTGGGCATTTATGGCTACGGTTTGCATCATGATGCGCCGAGGCATGTGAATTTACCTTTTGCGTCGGCGAATAGGCTTTATAAAGTCATTCGCGAGCAGTTTGGGACTATTGTCTTTTGTCGTCGATACCTCGAGCGTCTAGGCCAAGAGCGATATCTCGCTGGTGTGAGTGCTTTAACCGTATGTGAGGGGGAGATTACTGACGGATTATGAAGCTAAACTCTTTGGTGTCTAATGGTATCCTTGAAGCGTATGAACCGCTTGCTGATATCAGGGGTTCTTACTCAGCGCAGTTCGAGCATGTAAGTTGATGTGTGAGTGAAGATACGGGATAGCTACTAACTGTGGTAGACTATTCTGCTTCGAGAGTCGCATAAGGAGGTTATCAGTCGTGGAAGTGACTACTAAATTGAGAATAACTCGATATTCGTCAAATTGGGGGAACAGGAAGGGTTCAACATCATGTCGGAATGGTTTCAACACCATTTCCTCCCGTTGAGCAGTCGTTTCAACACTACTACACACAACTAAGATCTGGCTTCAACACGCCTGCCTGCATTTACATTCGTATGATAGTATAGTCTGTCACTATCTTTGCCAAATCTATTTTCACTTACATATTCACGTCGGTGCATGACTTGACGGCAGATGCTGAACTCTTGGCATCGTCGGTGATTTCCCAAAACGTACTCAATCAAACATGCTATCATCTCGCCATAGATCAACAGTGAGTCACTGGAGAAACTGTCTCAGATACACACACATACATACATACAGGTACATCAGTCGCTTAAACCCCGCCATATGCCCGCACCAGAAGCGAACTGCCAATGGATGGGTGCCTTGAGAAACAGGGTGTCATGAGGCCCTATCGGCTAATGTCTCGATCGGCACATCATGAGCGGGGTCTGAGCGAACTACACTATGTACATTCTCTAGTGTAGGACATTTTTAGGCAGACAAGGCAATCGGTCAATGGAGAGATTCCAATTGAGATGCTACTGATTGCGGCAAAACAACCCCTCCAAACCCATTCCTATACCAGAACAGCAAATTCATGCTATGTCTCTGGGCAATAACCCAAGATCCAAAATACGCCCCCAACTCGCATTTAACTAAACCTCATCGTTACAGAATAACTTGATTCCCACGGTCCTTCAAGATTGAAGCTTCACCAAAGTCCCAAAACGACCCCATCTTTCGATTCTTGGTGTTTCTTTTCGGCGCGTGTGTCTCCACTCCTCCCACCTCCAGGGGCAAAAAGAACTTTGGTTGGGCTAATCCTTGCTCTGATTCACGATGTATGCATGCGCGATCCTTCGGTGTTTTGAGGTTCCCTTATTTTTTACACTTTGATGCCAAGGAGTTGATGTTTCGCAGATATCGTGATGTGCTTTGAAAAGTCGGTTGATTTATAATTTTGGTGAGGGGGATCGAGATGTCTTGGTGTGCAGCCTATTCTACTTACACCGAAATCGCACACCCTCAGTCCTAGGGTCATGAGACAGACAGGTTTTTTCTATTCTTGCACATTTGATGGGAAATGTCTTGTACCTGCTTTAGTGTCTCGCCTCCCAAGCCATTGAGCCTCTCTATCCTCATCTCAAGCCATCTCGGTGTAAACATTCACAGTGACGCAAGTAGGAACCAAAGTATTCAAAGAGCAAAACCCATTCTGAGTTCTTTTTTTTTTCTTGCTGTTTTGTGTCTTGTATCTAACTAAGTGTTCTGTAATCCTTAAAATCGGCTCATTGCCTCACTCGCTGGTATCCAAATCCCAATATCAAACTCCCTTAAACGTATACAGAATAATTCCCAAATCCCAAGTCTAATCGCTAAATATCATTTGCTTGTGAACTCCATGTAAAACAGATCAAAGTGATACAAGACCAAATCCGCCAACTATATCGTTTACTCATATCGGTACACTCCCGGCTCGTACATCTCAGAGGGCCGTCTGCTGCCAGCGCCGATTGTGAGACGTCGCTTGGGCTGCATGCGCTCACGGAGACGCTCGCGCTGAGCCTCCTCCTCCTTCTTCTCCTCGCGACGAGCAAGGCGGCGTGCCTTGTCCTCACGACGCTCCTCCTCGAAGCTCAAGCGGCGAAGCTCGTCAGCGAGAACTGCTTGGCTGTCGACGACTTCGACGGAGGGGCGCTTGTATGTAGCAGAGCGCTTGGGAGGAGCAGGGGCAGGGGCGACAGGGCGAGAGGCGATCTTTGCGTTGGCCTCTGCGATGCGAGTGCGGAGACGAAGCTCAGCTTCCTCTCGGCGCTTCTCCTCGCGACGGCGTTGGCGGCGCTCTTCCTCTTGGTCGGAGTGTCGGGAGCCGCTTGATGAGTGGCGGTGGTGCTTGGAGCGGTGGTGGTTGTCGACGACTTCGATCTGGACACGGCGCTGGTCAGGCTGCAGAGTTCGCTCATCAACGATGACGGGGCGGCGCTTGTTAGGGTCCCGTGAAGAGTCGACGATGTATGTGTTTGAGATGGGTGATGCGGGGGCAGTGTGAGGGGCATTCCATTGCTGGGGAGGAGTGCGAGGTGTAGGGGGGCTGTCGACCAAGACAATTCTCTCCTGGTGACGAGAGGAGCTTGGTCGACGCTCACGGCGGTTCAGATCAAGAACCTTCTGGCCGTTGATGTAGACTCCGGATGATCGCTTCTTCTTGCTACCGTTGCTGGTGTATGAGCGGTCTGATTCATCTCCTGAGCGGTATGAGCCCGACGGTGTAGAAGGGGCAGGGCTATACTGAGGTGTAGGAGGGAGTTGAGTAGCATAAGGGTAAGAAGAAGCCTCGTAGGGAGCGGGAACGTATTGGACTGGGTGCTCGAATAGGAAGTTGCTGGCGCATACTTGTCCATGGCGAGAGTTTGCGCAGAGCGTGGGTTGAGACCACTGCTCGCGGCGTCCATCGGGGTGGACGTATGTGTAGATGTTTGTAGTGCACATTGTGTCGGTGCTGAGAGGTTCTAAGCGGCTGTTGCGCTGTGGGGGATCCTCTTGGATGATAACCGGAGGCAG